GCCCTCAGCCTCCATTTACTAATGACCAGGTACCTAGTTGTGAAGGCATATAACCAATTTTTGCATACAATTCAGCCTATTTCTCACTGAGGTAGTAAATTTGTGTTTGGACCCAAACTAGATGTGACAACGTCCTCATGTCTGCCACAGAGACACCACTACCGTGGTGATTTAAGTGATTTTTAAAAAGCAGTGAGGGTCTGATCCCAATCAGCCTCAAATGCAGCGGACTAAGGCACTTTTGTCGTCCCCCCCACACCTTTTCAAATGCTGAAACTGCTGCAGGAGTTGTGGCTATTTCAGCACTTGAAAATGTGCAGGGGCAGGGAAGGACAAAAGTGCCTCAGCCCACTGTGATCCTGAATCCGGCCCGCACCACATTTTTAAATCACTTTAAAATGGCAGCAGCACCCTGATGGTGGACATTTTATTTATTTTATTTATTATTGGATTTCTATTCCACCCTCTCCACAAGTGTGCTCTGGGTGGGTCACAGCAGTTAAAATACAACATAATAATAAATACGGTTCATACAGAGTTAAAACTGTTAAAACCAACAGATAGCAAAAGACTCAATTTCCAGCATCCACAAATGCCTCCCACAAGTACAGGGCATATGGTGACTAAAACAAGGACCCATTCAATGGATGCCATTGCGAGCTATAGAAAATGGCAGTTCACCCGGGCAGTGTAGGCAGGGCGTCCAGCACCTCAACCTTCAGGCGTCCAGCACCTCAACCAAAGGCCTGGTGGAATGGCTCCGTTTTACAGGCCCTGCAGAATTGCATTAAATCCCACAGGGCCCTGATCTCAAGTGGGAGCATGTTCCACCAGACCAGGGCCAGGGCAGAAAATGCCCTGGCCCTGGTCAAGGCTAAGCAGATGTCTCTAACGTGGGAGGTTTGTATTGCATAGATTCTAATCTGGGAGAACCGGGTTTGATTCCCCACTCCTCCACTTGCAGCTCCTGGATGATCTTGGGCAAGCCATAGTTCTGTCAGAGCTGTTCTCTCAAGGACAGTTCTGGAAAGAGCTCTCTCAGCCCCGCCTACCTCACAGGGTGTCTGTTGTGGGGAGGGGAGGGGAAAGGAGTTTGTAAGCCGCTCTGAGACTCCGAGTGAAGAGCAGGGTATAAATCCAATCTCTTCTTCTTCTTCCAGGTCGGGTACCACCAGCAGATGCTGCTCGGTAGAGTACCAAACTCTTCAGGGCACACAGGGGGAAAGGTGGTCCTGCAGATATGGTGATCCCAAGCCACATAGGGCTTTGAAGGTTAATACCATAACCTTGAACCAAACCCAGTACTCAATTGGCAGCCTGTGCAATTGGTGTAGCACCGGCTGAATTATGCACCACCGTATTTTGCAGACATGTTACCACATTTTGCACTAGCCGCAGTTTCCAGGTCAGGTTGAAAGGCAGCCCCACATAGACTATGTTACAGTAATCCAGCCTGGAAGTGATCATTGCACGGATCACTGTAGCTAAGTCCCGGGAGGAGCGATAAGGAACCAACTGCCTGACCAGCTGAAGGTGGTAAAAGGCCAATCTGGCAACCATGGTGATCTAGGCCTCCACTGAAAGCGAGGCATCCAGGACCACCCCTAGGTTCTTCAAATTCTGTACTGGCAACAATGGCGCCCTGCCAAGGGTTGGGAGCCTGATTCCCGATCCCACCCCCCCATGCCTCAGATATAGAACCTCCATCTTCACTGGATTTCTCAGCCAACTCTGTTTTAACCACCCAGCCACAGTCCCCAAGACCCTGTCCGGGATTTCTGAAGCGGCATCCAGCTGGCCATCAACAGATAGAGCTGGGTGTCATCAGCATACTGGTGACAGCCCAGCCCAAGCCTCTGGACCAGATGGGCAAGGGAGCACATATAGATGCCAGTTTGGCCATGTCCAGTTTGGTTAACTTCAGACTGCACATGAGGTTTCACCAACTGAGTTTTCTTCTACATAAAAAAATACCCTCCACTCAGAATACAACCTGTTAGGGTGAAGGGTTCTAGCCTATCCTTCTCTCTGCCATGCAAGTTTTCTATGTGGATGGATTCCCCCCCCCCCCATCACCTTGTTTTGTAGTAAAAAAGTGCATTTCATAATAGCTGTACCTCATACTATTAAAAAATCTGTAAATTTAAATTATATGTAGAAGACATAAATTCAATAAATTGAGACATGTACAAAAGTTTCTGTACTTTTTCAATTATCTATATACTGTCTAGGCAATTTCTGACATATTCCACTTTCTGATATGACATTTTTAAAGAGGTGGTACATTTTCCCCTGATTTAGAAGCAATAAAGGTCTTTGAAGCTCAAACAACTTCCATACTAGTATCTCTGAGATATTCCTTGTTGGTAACTTGAAGCTACCATCAACAGCACTCTACACAAAATCTTGGTCCTGAATACATAATCTTTTACAATCAAATATGTATGCAACCAGTATTAGAATGGAAACAGCTCCAACCACAGCTACCTATTTAATTTCCATATGTTTTATTTAATCTTCGCAGAATCAGATATCACTGGTATATAATTCTATAATTATTTTCTCTCACATTCAAACTAAGTGACTATACCAGTCCCTTAGCCATATTGGATCAGATATTGTAATATTCAGTGTTTGCAATTCTTTCCCATATCCTGCTTACATCAATTTCATGAGTTTTATCATTAGGCAATACATCAGATATATTTCAGAACAAATATTTCCTTCCTCCTACATCCTGGATTAAAATATTTAGAGTTGTTATACTGCCAGATCTCAGGCACTGTGTTACAAAATTTCATAGTTAAAAATCCTGAAACCAAAGAGGAGACACACTGCCCAATAGAACACTAATTTCAGATCTGTTCAAAAGATGATGGTTATTTCAAACACCTCTAAAAATAAAATATTTCACTAAATCCAATTATACTAGTCTTCATTCAGATGGAATGTTTCTAATGATGATATATTAGAACCAAGATGAGTTTCAAATTTGTTCCATGTCTTCAAAATATCTTCCGACTTCCACACAAAGATTCAATTTAACAATTCATTAATAGCTTTCACCGAAACACAGGAAGAAACAGGTGCCCACGTAGGGTTGCCAGTCCTCAGGTCCCAGTGGGGGTTCCCCCACTTTTCAAGGCTTCTGCCTGCCTCTAGCCAGCTGGCCCAAACAGCCACGTCCGGGCATGACATCCCCAATGCGATGACATCACCCAGAAGTCACATCATCACACTGGGAGTGGTGCACATGACACTCTGGTTTGAGGGCAAAACTCTATAGTAAATTTGGCCTAAAACCATAGAGTTTTGCCACTAAACCAGAGCGTCACCATGCAATGGCGCTGACACATGACATCACTTCTGGGTGACATCATTGCATCGGCGACATTCCAGAATGCCCCCCAAATCCCCCGGCCAGCGCATCAAGGAGACCTGGCCACCTTATGACCACAACAGCAAAAAATGTTTATTTTCAGCTACATCTAATTAGGAAGCTGACTTCCTATTTGCAGACACCTGATCTGGCCACTCCAATCTATGCTTCAGTAATCTCAAAGCTAGATTAGTGTAATATGTTCTACATGGGGCTGCCCTTGATGGCAATCCAGAAGCTCCAACTGGTACAAAACGTCTCAGCCTATTTATAACCAGGGGCTAGTAGGTGTGACTTTGTCATTCCTACTCTGTACAGCTGAACAAGCACAGCTGAACTTGGTGCCAACCTTAAAAGCCCTACTTGACCTAGGCTCCATACTTGAATGACCACTTCTCCCTGCATGTTCCTCCTGACAAGTTCTACTGTGGCACCCTCATTATGTAAGGCATATTTAGCAACAGTCCAAGCTTAAGCTGCCCCATGCCCTTACAACAGCCCCCCAGAAGAGGCCAGGGTGCTCCTAGCCTCCTGACTTTCCAGAAAGGCTGCAAAATAGAGTTGCTCTGGAGAGGTCTGGGGATAATCTGAGCCTGGCAAAGGGAAAATACCTTGCCGGTAGAGGTATAAGGTGTTTAGGTAGGTTTTTAATATTTTTAGATCTGTTGTTTTAACATTTGTTTTGCCAAACTGTTTTCAAATTGTTGTTACCTGCCTTGAGTTCTGAGATGCTCAGGGAAAAGGGGGACATACATATTTAAATCAAATAAATGAATAAACAAATACTATCTAAATTTCTAAGTTTGCCTCTGTAATACTATCGTAAATTCATCAATGGGACGTTAACACAATTTTGCTCCAACACATACTATTGCACAGGAGTAGTAATATTTAGCCTGGGTAATTGGTTTCAGGTGCATAGAAATGAAATAATTGGTTACATTTGATAAATCAGCCCATCTTATATGATGTTTACAAAGTAGGAATTGAAAACTTTGGCTTTCTATACTCACCTACATTTCTTAATTTATTTTATTTAGCATATTTCTATGCTGCCTCTTCAGAGTCTTGCTTAATACAGCTTACAATTAAAACCATGTCATAATATTAAAAACAAGACATTAAAACAAGGTATTTGACATAAACAGAGTAAAAGCAGGCCATAAAACAGAAGATCATTTAAAACACTGGTAAAATAGAACCCCTAATTAAAAGCAACTCCAGCCAAGGCTTACCACCCTAATGAGAATTATGTCCTAGAAAATTAGACAAAGGCTTTTGACATTCAGGCAGCCGTATTTCTTTAATGAGAACAGGCCCTAGTCTCTATGATCCACCAGTCTCTCTTTGTCTGCCTCCACATATTTTTCTCTAGAGAAAGGAAAGTGAAAGAAAAACTATTGTAGGGTATCTGCTGAGAGATCTCAAATCAAGAGAACCTACAGCGGTACTACTCTTATCACATATTTTAAGAAGGAGATCATTTCCTATGCATAATTCTAATTCAGCACCAAACTGAGACTACAGGAAATTTCTCTATCAGCACATCCTAAGGGAGACGCTATAATGCAGCTTGTGTACTCCTACTGTACTTAATTAAGAGCAATAAAAGAGAACTTACTGAATTTCCACGGTCCCCTTTAGGCCCTCTCAGATTCTCCATTTCAAACATTCTCTCCAATTCTTCATAGTCATAATCATAACCATCAATGTCAAGTTCATAACTGCCTTCCACATTGTAAGTTTCATCAACCTGAAATGTATCTTCACCCCATGGACCAAACTGATTATCCAAAGGCAAAGAATCAGAAGCTCTATATAATGTGGTATTTAAAATTTGATGAATCTCTACAGGTTCACGTGAATATTCCTTTGATGTGTTTCTCATCATATTTGTATTTTTAATCTGCTTTATGGAAAAGAGCAGTGGTGGGTAATTTTTCCTGCTTGTATTTTCCGTGCCGTTGTCTGTAACATTTAGAAATAATTCTTCTTGAGTCTGGGGCCCACTCTTCCTTTTGCTGACATCTTCCTGATGAATTTTTGACACTTTGACAATTTGCTGGTCATTCTGTTCAGGCATAATTTCCAATGCAGTAACATTTCTTAAGCAAAGAGATGTCAGGACAGGTCTAATCTCTACAGATTCTGGTGGCACGTGGACTGGTGTAGAGTCCTTGACATAAAGGGTTGAGGCTGCTTTGCTTGTCTTTAATGTCCTGTAATCTAGTAGGGACTCTTCATTCAACTGTTCGCTTGGGTTATTTAAAAGCCCTCCAAGTGATGTTTCAGGAGATGTTGGCTGAGATCGGTATGTATCTGCTTGGCGACACTGTTGTTTCACATATTTACAATAGTTTACTGAGGCTTGTGCAGAGGGGATAATATCCAGCTGACATATTACTCCTTCAAAGTTGACTGAATGGGAGTTCATCCTTCCTAAGGTAAGCAAACTATGTGAATCAAACTGCTTTACTTTAGAAAGAGTCTCCCTGATGAAATGCTTCCTTCCACACTGAGAAAACAGGGACACTGTTTTTTCTGTGACACTAATAGCGAATAAGTGCCATCGTTCATCATGAATGGTATAATCGAAATATACAGATTGCTTCCCTCCAGTGTGTACTATTATCTTCCTTGGTAGTAACTGTACACCAAACTGCAGTCTGTTTTTATTTCTAATACTGAAAAGAAAGGCATTGTTTGCTCTGTAAGAGCGTAAACCAATCAGTACGGTGAACTGGGAGCCTAAACTGGATGCTATCACTTGAGATAATGGAACCTCAATGGCAGCGTTTGTTGACAAAACAACTCCTGAGGCACTTAGGTGAACTCCCTGAGGTAATGATGAACACAATGAGGGCATTACAGTCCCTGTTGATGGATGGTATGCAGCTTGCCCCCTTAGGCCTAAATGCTGAAGAACATCTATGCCTGAAAACAAGAGAGAAAAGGAACTGAGAATTCAATTTTTCTGAATATCATTAATATGAATCATGTACTAGCAGTTTCTTCTGAGAACCATTTAACTAAGGTTGCAGTCCTAGACAGTAAGTTTCACTGAGCTCAAACGGATTTATTTCTGAGCATGCATGGTTAGGATGGCACTGTAGGAAGACCAATGGCATGGTAAATCATCTCAAAAGAAAACTTGCACAACAGAATGCAAACCCATGACACATATAACTGGTTCTCATGATCTTTTCAGCTCAAAAACATGGCTCACCTATGGCAATCTCCACATTCAGTGAATATTAATCTGAGAATGTTGAATTTTCCACCCATATTCACTAAAAATTTAATATCATCCAACATTAATCTCTGAAAAAATACTCTTAAAATTGGGGCTATTGTCTCAAGATTTAAGAAAATTAATTTAAATAAACTTTTCACAAATACTTCTGCTTCTAGAAAATGTGAAATTGCAAAAAGTTAGATTTACAAAACTGAGGGTTACCCCCACCATTCAAAGTTTTTATGTTAGAAATCTTTGTTTCACTTTTTGGTGGCTATACACAGACAGGCTCAAAACTATGCTCCACGCTGTGTCTTGTACCTGTGTGCCCAGCTGGGTGGATGGTTGGAGAACTGCTCCCAAATATAAGAAATACAGGTTCTGAGCCTGCTTGCAGCGAAAGCAGTATAGAAGACTAATGGATAAATGGAATAAATAGTCCAGCTTCTTCTCTGTGTTTTGTTGCTTACTGGCCTGTCACTAGCCAAAAGAGGAGCTTTGTCTTCTTACTAGCCCTTTGTGAGGCATTTGATCCCATAGGTCCAGTTTGCCACATGGAT